TAATTATTACTTAGTCACGTAGAATAATTTAATTTGTTCATTGACGTACGACTTGTAATCATTTAATCTACATTTCAGCTTTTGTGTTTTGGAAATGCAATGAAGGTATATAAAGAACGATGTTGCAAATAAAAAAAGAATTCGATTCATTTTTTCGTTGATCCTTTATCAATTAAGATTCAATTGTTGAAAAAAAAAAAAGTTCTTCTGCATTACGTTGCGTTGAAAAAAAAAAAAATTTGAATTCATTTTTCGTTTGATCTTTTTCATATAATCTCAATAAAGATTTGACATTGCAAATGTATTGATATATAAATAAAGGAAGGCGAACTATAAAAAAGTGTAAACAGTTTATTAAATTTTCGAAATTATCTACAAAGGACAACCAGTTTAACAAAGACAATTTATTAGCGAAAATCTTTTCTTGATAAAAAAATCATTTAAATTAAAATTTATTTATTATATTGTAACTGAAAGAGCAACATTGAAAGTTGCTTTTAAATAATTTTTTTTTTCAGTTTTCTATATAAATCGAACATGAAATTTCTCGTTTATTATCGGTGTGAAATCTTCACCTTAAAGTCGTACCATTTTAGGAAAGGAAAAAAAAAGTTTGCCAATTAATATTTTTGCGATTTTTGCGGTTCAATTATTACTGATAATATATTAAAATGTTTGAGTATTTTCTTCATCAGATAATTCAACAAAATTTCTTTTTATCAAGTATCTGTTTATCTTTTGAATTAAACCCTTACATCTACTTCAATCTCTTTAGTAAAGATCATGATGGCATTAATATCAAATGATTCATCAATTGACAAATACTTTTCTTTCTTTCGATTCAATGGAAAATAAATGTTTCTTCTCTCTCACGTCATCAACCGATTCAATGCGTGCGTAATGATCATTTCTTTCCTATTATGTCGTCAACAGATTCATAAATTGATAATGATCGCAAACTGATTCTCCGGTAGGTTTAGTAGTTATTTCGGCGCGTTATCAGTGTTCACTTGGACTTCCCTTATTCTATATTGCTTCTGTCTTTGAATATCCTGTAATTTGTTTATTAATACAAGTATATACAATACAGTAAATAAAATTCACTACTTACATCCCAGGATTCAATAAAACAATCTTAATTCTCCATCCACATTTATTGGGATGTTTCCTCCTAAAATCTCTAAGTTCTCTTTCTTTCACAGCTTTTCTTCATGATACTTTGCTCCTGATACGTAGAAGAATATTCTTAAAATTTCAGAATAAAACAGTGTTATTATATCAATTTGAAAACTTACGCCTTCTACACAAAAGCTCCACGCTGAAACATTCATCAAATAATCATATCCATGATCATTATGAGAATCATCAAAGTCAATAGCAGTTGCATCCTTATCATCATTATCGTCCGTAAATCTTTCAAAGTATTGGATTCAATAGTCGCAATTCTCGATAGGCTTTCATATTTAAGACTATTACCAACCTTCATTTTAACAAATCTGGCTTTATACTTGTACATATTCAAGTACCTTTATCACTTTGCGCCTAAAATGCTTATCATCAAGATTATAAATTTAGAATCATACAAATTAAATTGATTAAGATAATATTAAAAAAAAATACGCTTCCTCTTATTATAGTAATCGAGACTGTATCTTAAGAATTTCTTCAGGCGAATAAAATTTTCGAATACGACCGCTGACATCGAAACACACCATGCTCATCTTTGAAATGCTTTTCAGATCCTTCTTCAAAGAATCTCTAAAGCTTGCTTATTTGCGATAATTTGACCGTAAAGTCTACGGTAGTTGTTCCATGGTCTTCTTTTTACTCCTATTATTTATAAAAGAAATTAATAAAAAAAACTCTAAGGCAGATTTGTTTACGTATGAAGATCGAGCTTGACACTTTATTTATTCTAGATATTCACTCTGGCTGTTCTTTATAAACCTGCGAATCGGTAATTCAGATGGACTCATCGTTAACTTGGTGGATCTCGCCATTGATCTTGTATCTGTCATTTCTTAACCTTATAAATATGTTTGGAGTTTTCGAAATTCTATTAAAGGATTCTGTTAAAGGATTATTGTTTTAAATTTTTAACGATTTCGTGAGGATTGTATTTTGGAATAAATAACTCCAACCTAATAATGATAAGATAAATCAATATATTATTCGCTTTATTAAATATAAATATGCATAAACTCACTAGTCCTAATACCCTCAGATCCATTAACAAGGATCATTGGCAGAATTGGCAAATACCATTCTGGTTCTACAAACTGACCGTCATAATTATAATATGATAGTAATAAGTCATCTGAAATTTTTCGAGTCATTTCAGGGATTGCAACGCTGACATAGTGAGCACTAGCTGCATTTTCCCCCTAGAACACTTGTACCAAGTTGTCTTCTCCCTGAAGAATATTGATGGAATTTGAACTGACAAAATCTTGAGCAATTTTGATAATTGTACCTTGAAGACTTGCATCACCATTGTATATGCCGCTAATTCTGAAACGACCTGCTTACGAAGAAACTTTAATTTCGTATTTGAACTTGTCCTTAAAATAATTATACAAAACTTTTCTCTGACCAGGTTTTAATTCGTCGAGAAAAAATTTGGAATCGAACGTTCATCGTCAGCTTGACTAAATAAGATCAACTCTTTATTATAAAATCCATTATCTGATTTCTTGCTTCGGATTAGAAATATATTTTGGAATGTGAATTTTCGTTAAAGAGGTCAAATTCTGATTGGAAACAGGAAATAACAGAAAAAACATTTATATATTTTTCATTTGCTTAACCATTTCTTGCGACCATCAACTTTCTTTTCATAATAGCCATATCGAACAACTCTTTTTTTTTTTTGTTTTTGAGCTCCAAAAAATTTTTTAATGACGCTTTATATTTTTGAAATCTTCCTTGGTATTAGAAATGTCAAAGAATGTTACAACTTTGTTAGCTACATAAATTGTTGTAAAATTTATAAAAGAAAATACCATGTAATGTTTGACCTTCCAAATTTTAGCATCAAGGGTTATTTCCTTCCAATTTTTATATTCGGGAATGGTAAAGAATGATACTTCTTGATAGTGTTTCTGGCGAACTAATTTTGACAAATTGATCTGCGAAAATATTTGGGGTTTCATAGTTTTCGGATAGTTTCTGACCATAGAAAAATTCTCTGGGCGAAACGTTTCGGAATTTAAAAATAGTTTCGCTTAAACACTACTTCTTGATCACCCTTTGTACACTAATAAAAATTGATAAATGATTATTTGATCTCGAGATTGTTTATTAACATGATATAATGGTTTAATACCTTAAAGAATTCCCATAAGAAATCCGGAAATTTTGCAAGGAGGGAGAGACATGATCCAAGAAATTGATTATCAATACTTTTAAACGGCTTCAATTGTGATCTTGATCCGTCATGATCATCGAAATTCACTTGTTAAAACGTAATAAAGTTCCAACCATGAATAGCATCTCGAGTAAATTATCGAAGCTACCCGATGGAATGTAACTTTAATCCATAAGTCGTAAAGTCTCGCTATCGCAATAAAATAACCAGATATTAAAAAAAATTGAGACCCAAGTAACCAAAAAAAAGCCCAAGTTCACGAAGTTTGCGAACAGGAACCAGTCTTACCAGAATATCCCGCAACTCACCCTTATGGGAGAATTTGGTGGTTAATATTATTTGATATTGTCCCAAGGAATCTAAAGTTTTTGAACTCATACGGACATTTTTGAATTGTTTATTATGTACAACATTTTAATATTGTCACCGCGTGAAAAATGCACATTCCTAATCGATTAACAAAGGTATTCTGCATAATCAAGAACTCTTTTAAAATGCTTTTTAAGATTGTTGGAGGCGCTGTTGCCAGAAATTCGAGTACAGAAAGAGGATTTTGAATATCATTTTGCTTTATTACCAAATCACTATGATGATTTCTACAGATGGCAAGTTGGCAAGGATACGACATGTTTTAAAAAAAATTTTTTAAAAAAGTATTATAAAAATTTAAAAAATCAAATTAAAAAAAAATTTGTCAAGGATCGAATTACCCTTCGATATTTTTAGATATTTATATACCGATTTTCCATATCGCCACCCGTGTCCGGGAATTCGATTAGCCACACATTATTAGCCGCTGACGTAATTGTAGTATTATTCGAATGAGAGACGTGAATTAAAATATTATTATGCATCATCATAAGAATGTACAACTTATTTCTTTATATTGAAACGCAAATTGTATCATAAATAAAAATCAACGGCTTAAATAAGTTATAACAATGAATGCAGTTAAGTAAATTGTAGACAAATTTCCATAGGAATCATAATAAATTTTATGCCACTCATTCTTTGCAGTTTTCTTTAACTCAAAATTTCGTTGGTTGTTAAAAGTAAACCGTAGTAGATTAAAGTATCTGAAGAAAATATTGTTTAGATTCAGTGCAGCATTGAAGAATAGAATTAACATTGGACAATTTATTTTATTAAAGAGAACTGGGGAAGAGCCTAATATAATTCTGAATAACTACCCCGTGAAAAGGAATACTGAAATTTGTCCGGGAATAGTTGCAGCAGCGTTCAGAAATTTGGCAACTTCTTTTGTTATGTATTTTCAAATAATATGATTAAGAATAAAATCTATTTTAAGTATTTGTTTTTTGAAGTTTTTAAAGATGTTAAATTTGTAGAGAAAAAGAACGAAATAAGAAGAAAAATTCTTTAATATTAAAAAATAATTTTTATTGAGTAAAAATATAATAGGATAATTAGATTTTAATTGCTGCAATATGCATATTTTTATAAATTGTTTAAATATATTGCACTATTAATTATTATCTTTTATAACATATTTTATTTATCTATTATAAAAGAAACTAAAATTCCACGATGATTTTCTAACAATAGATGTTGATACTCAGAAATCACATTTCCTTTAAAAAAAAAAATATAGATCCGCCAGGATCTTTTTAAAAGTCCTGACAAATCGTTCGTGTTAGTCTTGCTGTAGCGTCACCAAATGCATGTATACTGGATGGGATCACGATATCTCGGCTTATGAACCTATTTAGCTATAATTTAGAAAACGTCGAAGAGTTTTTTTTTTAAAAAATAAAATTATTTGATGTCTAATGTGGAAGCATCAATTTATATGCAAACCATTTGATCTTTCTTGAACCTAGTGAAAAATTTTGATTCATTTCTGTATCGAGTATATGTATCGCAGTGAAATAATTTTAACTGATTATTAATGATATTCCTTTTATTTCGCCTGACGACTCCTCCTGAAATATCCTTTTGCAACACTATAAAAATATCTTGAGAAGTAAGTTTTTTAGTGATGATTGATGCATGTAATATTGAAATAAATTCACAGTGTGTTGCCTCGTTGGCATAAATAAATAATCCGTTCCAGTCAAAATATCATTTAGATCAGGTGTTCCGGTTTTGATATATCGGATTGCATATTGTCACAATCAATGACTGATATAGATACTTCCATCCAATAAAAGTGTTATAACGTCAGACACACTTTAAATTAATATTGTAATAATTTACTGTAACTATACGTTGGTTAGATTTTGATGCAATTTTCAAGAAATATGATTGGTTGAAATGTATATTATATTACTTAGAGTATGTGGCACAGCCAACCGTAATCGCCCAAATTTTAAAAAAAAATTCATGAATAAAATTTTCGCCGATTTCTTTTGTTTTTCGTTTTAATGCCTATTTTTTTTGCTTTAATACTTTTTTTTTGGTTGTTATATTCTAGTTTCTGTTGTTTTTTCCGTCATTTAATGTTTTGTTTTTGCTTTTTTATTCTAATGTTCGTTTTTTTTTGTTTTTTATTTTTGTTTTTATTATTTTTTCCGATGTTTTTCGTCTTAATATTTTTGTTTTTAATTAATATAGTTTGTACATTTTTTTTTTTTTTTTTTGTTTTTTATTCTTTTTTCCGATGTTTTTTGTCTTAATATTTTTGTCTTTAATTAATAACCACCCATTTAAAAGTAATAAAATACTATCATTTTCTTCGATTTACATGTTACAAATGTAATCTTAATAAAGAATGTGATAATCTTTAATATGAATTATTATCTTGCCTTCCTCATACATATAATTACCATTTGCATTGAACATAGTAACAAAAATTGGGTGATTAACTTCTACGCTAAAAAAATAAAGTAATACCTTTAATTCGGCTGATTATTCGCTATATGCGTGCTTAAATTATGACTTTTTTTAGTCTTCAACCTCTTTTTCGTGCAGGAATAACATGGGGGTTCAAAGTTTCCTTTTCATCACAAATAGTATTAGGTAGTTTTCGCTTTCTACCACCAGAACCTTTAGTCTTTCGCCTTTTAACGGATTCAACTTGGACACGGATCATTGAACCACTTTTAACACGGGCTGTTGGGTTTAAACTACGATTAAGGTCATAGAGATAACAAGTAAGCTGGGGAAAAGACTTTGATTTTGCTGAACAATATCGCTCTGCAAACTTATCTAGTGCAGTGCGTAACTGAGGACTAGCAATTTGATAGTCTGATTTAACTTCCTCTAAAAATGTAACAAACGAAGTATAATCAATATCAGTACTTTCTTCGTTAGGAACCCTAAAAGGATCAAAAAAATAGATTTCAGTTAAAATTTTTTCAAGCAGGTACACAAAATATTACAGAATATTTACACGGTACCTCCGTTCAATATGTTCATCAAGAATATTATTAGGGTAAATATCTTGCAATGTAGATTCTTGAACCTGTGGAGTGGATATTGGTCGCAATAATGCATAAAAAGAACTATTTTCAGAAGTATAACCTAAGGAAAGTAATTAATCATAAATATCAAAAATACAATTTACAAAAAACCTCACTTACCAAGCAACATAGGCATATATCATACGAACTTCAGATGTCAATGAAGGTATAGAGTTGAGTATTGCGATGTGATATTTCATTGCAACTGCACCCTGATGTTTGCAGGGCGCTCCAGATACTCTAATAGGACAAGTACATGTCCCGATCTCACTGTTTACAATATAGAACAGGTCATCTTGTCTAGTACTTTATACTGAAAATTCATTATTAACACCTGTTTCTTTAATAAAATTGCATTTACTCTTTCCCAGCCAGGACACAAAAAACGTTTTGCAACACGTAAGTGTCTAGGATGTTTATGCGCAATTTCAAGTAGTCTCCGCTCATAGAATCTCTCGATATTTGTTATTAAAACTGAAATACTTGTACTATATTATATGCTTGTGTTCTTGCAAAAATAATGTCTTTTAAAATGCTGAAACTACGTTCTACATAATTATTTGTGTTATTCTTTCGAGTTGGTAGTCCAACTCGAAAGGATAATGCATAACACTGATGACGTTCCCACAAGAATTCAAAATGTTTTTGGAATAGAGGGTAAACGTAATAAAATGTCTGTGCAAATTCATAGTAGTTTGAATCCATTTCTGAACTTGATGATGGGTAAAAAATTTTTTTCACCTTGTTCATTATAGGCGTTTGATCTTCCTTTTTAATCTTATGTTTAGCATCGTGAAGTCACCTCCAAAATGCCTGTAGAATGTGAAACATGTACAAAAGTCAGATTCCTATAATATTTCAATCAAAAGTTAAAAAAATAAGGTATTAATATTAATTTCAAACTTTAAAACTTAAAAAATATAAATTTTTTTTATTGAATTTTAGATATATACCTTGAGGTTAACATGTTTTAGAGCATTACGTTCTGCATTGGAATCATCTGTTAGAAAAATAATTAGACCCAATGAACCGCGTCCAAAAAATGCATTTTCAGGAAGAATTGTTTTTAATAAATTTATCGCTTTTCTCATGACCTGAATTGTTATATTCTTCAACTATTAATCTTAAGCGCACGAACATTAATTCACCATTACAACTGCCAAGTGTAGTCTCACGATATTTTTGAAAAAGATGAAGAACTGGAGCATAATCTGGATTGCTAACTCAGTCTGAAAGTGTTTCTAATAACTCTTGATCGTTTGTGGCATTAAAGTACAGTTTATCTTCGTAAGTAAACAATGCGGAGGCAAGTTAATATCCATCTTTGAATAACTCAACAAGTTTTTCTTTGACTTCACCTTTGACACAGCGAAAACTTAGTGACTCAGCTGAATTGATTACATAGTTATGGGTAAATTAATACTGATTTCTAATGGATGGGTATGTAGAAGTTTCCAACATTCTAATCGAATATGAATGCTTGCAATACAGTTGATATCTCGCGTTCGAGATGACTGCGAATGTTTGATTATACAATTTTTTCCTTGCTTTTTCTTGACCTGATAACTGTGGATATAGTGCCTAAATTCTCGACAAAGAACTTGGTTTCCTGTTAATTTAAATCCCCTTGATTTTAGCATTGTAGTTTTTAAATACGATTCGAATGCTGCAATCCATCCAGATGCTTCTTCTTTATTACATACATCTACAAATGCATCTAGCTCAAAATTTTCAACTTAAAATTTCTCTTGTGTTCGGCATTGTGATAGAATAACGAGTTTTTGGATTAAATAAGTATAATTGCATGGAAGAACCGTTTTTAAAATATCTGTAAAAGACTCCATGAATAAATCTATAAAATAATAAACAAATAAATACAATTTAATGAACAATAAATACCATGAATGAGTTTAATTAATAATAACTTTATCGTTATTGTAAATATATTTTAAATTAATATTAACAAATTAATAAATAAAATAAACTACATAATACAATAAAAATCATAAAACAAGATAAAAAAAACTATATACATGTTATAGTAAAAATTATCGATAATGTAACAATGAATACAATATTTTGTTCGAAATAAAGTTCATCCCAAAACTCGGGTTTTCAAAATATTCTATATAAAGTATTTTAAAAAAGAAAATATCGATAGAGATAACAGGTGCATAATTAACAAACCTATTAAATATTATCGCCTTCCATACTGTTTCATGAATTACTAGTTGTGTAACTTTTGAAAACTTTAATTTTAAATGAGCTTTCGAAGGGTTATCAGACACTTTCGCATAGTAAAAGTGAAAAGAAAGGTCTTGATTGAGAGGAAATATTTGCTTTTACTGAGTAGATAGTGTGAGTAAAAAAAAAGAGAAAAATTCATACTATAATATCAACAAAGCTTATCAAATCAAACACGAACTGTTATTGGTTGCTAACAAGGTAAAGTAAGTCAGATCAATTGACAGCTGCGCCACATAATTGGCAAACCTATCACATATTTAAGTCGTGCGTCACTGGTGTTATAGTGTCACACCCAGCTGTGCTTCTATTGGGTGTTACAAAAACGTATTTTACAGTTACCTAAATATGTATTTTTTTTTGTATGTATGGTATATATACATTTTTAGTATAAAATAAATTACTGTATATGTATGAAAAAATTGTCGTACATGTATAAATATTCCATATTTTTAAAAAAGATGAATTTATAATTAAAATATATTAAATTAATTACACATAAAGGTATAATTTCAATTCCTGGCATATTAATAAGTTGTACAATTCACCCTTACTATTAAAGATGGTCACCGCAATTGAAAAAAATGGCGCAATTGAGTTGCAACTTGTGGCGCAATTAAATTTCCTTATGGCGCAATTAAGTTGCAACTCAATTGAAATTTGAAAATAATTATGGGGACCATCTTTACTTACTATAATGAATTTTTATATTGCTATTGTGAAGAAAAGTTCAGGTACAGATTTATTTAAAAATAATAATATTTAGAATAACGAATTTTTATAGTAAATTTTTTGTAACTCGTAATGCGAATTTAAATGTTAGAACAGTTATTAGTAAAATAACACTCGATATAACAAAGGTTCCACTATACCGAATTTTTAAAATGTTACATGAATTTTGATCATATGAAATTATTAAATAAAAATTGCAATTCGAATTTGCCTTTAAAAGCTAGAATCATTTGATTAAAATCAAAAAGGAAAATTATCATATTTTATTTTGATTATAACAAAAGTAGTCCCCCTGATTGAACTGATCCAGTTAATTATTTTTTTCACATATTAAATGATATTATCCTAAACTCAAAATAAAATGTTTTAAGAAAAATCTTTGCTAAAAAGAAGCTCCTTAACTCTTGCCCAAAAGCATGAAATATGTCTTAGAAAAATTACTGAACCTTCTATAAAAAATAAAGAACTAGCAAAGTTATTTGATGTTAGAAAAGAATGCATTAGTGATACATTAAAATAAGCACCTATAGCTAAAGGTAAAAGACAAGTTAAAGTAACTTTTCCAGAAATTGAAGAAGCACTTACATTATAGGTATTAAAAGCTTTAAAAAGTGATATTGATATTAGTGATCAAGTTCTACATGAAAAGGCTATGATGTTTACGTCTCTTTATAAATTGAAAATTTTAAAGGAAGTAATAATTAGATTAATGAGTTTAAAAAAAACATAATCTTTCTTGTTATTTAAAACAAGGAGAGGCTGCAAGTGTACCACTTGAAAAACTTGATGAATTTAGAATAAAGTTTCAAGATTTGATTTATGGATATAATCTTGATAATATCTTTAACTCTGATGAAACTATTTATATTAGAAAATAAAAACTAAAAGAACAATCTCTAATAGACCTATATCTGGAAAAAAACAATCAAAAGATCATGTGATAGTTCTTCTTTGTTTTAATACAACTGGTACAGAAAAGCTTAAACCAGTATTCATTCATAAATACAAGAATTCTCGTCACCTAAAAAATTTATCCAAGTCATCTTTATCAGTAGAAAATTATTGGAATATAAAACTTGGATGTAAATCTCTATCTGGAATGATTGGATTTGTCAACTTGATGCAACAATTAGATTAAAAGGATGAAATATTCTTCTCTTAGTAGATAATGCTCCTGTTCATGCTTTATAAAAAAGTGTGGAATTAACTAATATAGAAATTAAATTTTTACTACCTAATACAACTGCACATCTTCAACTATGTAATAAGAATATCATAAATAGCTTTAAAATAATGAATTCTAAAAAATTTTAATGTAATTTTCAATTAATATAAAAAAAACTTTTTTTAAAAATATAAATAACCTTGCTATACAATTCCCGCTAAAAGTAATAGCAGACAGTTTTTTAACTTTATACATATAATTTTATATCTAAGTTAAATTTTTTTTAAAATAAAGATAAAAATCATAACTATAAGTAATTAATATTTGATATATCTTCTATCTGCATCAATACATGCTTGAATTTGATTTGGCATACTATTGATATTGTTAATTAAAACAGAATTATCAAATTATCTCATTCTTCAAGAATTACATTAATAAAAATGTCATTTGATATTTTTTTTATGCTACCATTTTTTTAACTTTTTTTCAATTTTTTTCTTTAAATTGGCCCAAACATTTTCAATTAGATTGAGGTTTGAGCTATAAGAGAGTCACGGAAGAACCTGATTTGTAAGGTGAGTCTTTAAGTCTTTTCTAATATTATTAGAAGTATGTTTTGGGTCATTATCTTGCTAAAAAATTCTAAATATGATCCAATAATCTATTTGCATTATTGTAGAGATGATCGTTAAGAATTTTGTGATACAAGTAATAATCAAAATTTTCTTTAAATATTTGCATGCTGATCTTTCCTTTGACATTGATCGTGACCCAAATATGCATCTTGAAAGGATGTTTAACCATGGGTTGAATGGGATTTCTATCTTTAAATGCACAGATAGTATTATGAAATATTTTAATTGTGGTTTCGTCAGAAAAAACCACTTTTTTTTCAATTGTAATGCAAGTAGTCATGTGTTCAAGACAAGTGATTGTTTTTGCTTTTTGAGTCAATAAAGTGACTTTTTAGAGAAGAACTAATACATAACTAAGATCATGAAGTTCTCACCAGATAGTTGTTTTACTGACCTCCAAATTTGTATTCTTTTCTTTAAGTATGGCCTTCAATTCTCCTACTGTAGTGAAATGATTATACTTGATGATCCTTCTGATTTGGCAGCATTTTTTTGGGATTAATTTTTGTGGTTGATCAGGTCAATGAATGTCAGAAATGTTACCATTCTTTTGCAAAGAGGCAACATATCTTTCATAAGAGTGCAATGAATTCCAGTTCAGGTAGAAATTTCCCTTGCATTACAAACATTTTTGTCTTAAAGAAACTTTACAACTTCTCAATTTTTTTTATGGATGTCAATTGCATTTTGGTAAAGGTGAGTAAAAAAATATTTTAAAACCCGTTTTTTGTTTATTTGTTTTTTAAATAAATATTCCAATACCTAATTTAGCTTAATAAATAATGGATCAAATCGGAATAATGAAGATGCTGTGGTTAAAAAATGAAATAATATCTCCACCGCTATTATTCTTAGCAGGAACTGTACTTATATATTTATAGGCATATTATTGAAAATTACCCTTCAAAGTCGAATTAAAGGTTTTGATTTTCAACAAGAAACTGGTAATACAAAGCCATACATTAATATCAAAAAAGCTATTAAATATGTGGTATTGACCTGGAATAAAGTTCTTATTCAAACTATATTCAACTGCTGGATTAATACAGGAATTTTACTATTAGATAATACAGATTCTCAAAATAGAATAGAAGAAAATGAGTGTGAAGAATTAGAAGAAAATGAACATAAAGAAATTCAAGATTTAATTGATAAACTTGAATATACATATCCTCTTACTGCCAAAGAATACATTAAATTAGATCAGGGGAATAGAATTGCTGAAGAGATGCTAACTGAAAAACAGATTGTTAACATTCTTAAAGAAAATAATTCAATTTCTGATGATGAGGGTGATAGAGATATTACTCCAGTATCTCACTCTAAAGTTTTAGTCACGTTTGATACAAATTTTATCTATTTAGAACAAAATGATAGTCAGGATATTATTGATAAAGATGCTTTTAAAGCTATGAAAAAAGCAAGGCGAGAGGTCTATAGAAATAATTTTTTTTCAAAAAAGCAAATGAATTTAGACCTATTCGTTAAGTCAAATGACAATGTCGATAGTATTGGTAATAATAATATGAGAAATAATTTTGATGATAATATTATGGACGTTGATAATATTAATTTTGAAACTTTATATTTCAATGAACAGGGCTTCTATAATTGTGAAGAAGAAGAATATTAATGGTTTTATTGAACATCAAATCGATCAGAATAGTCTTTATAAATGATCGTATTACAGATATACAGTAATTTGCGTTTGTCATACTTAATAAAGTAATAACCTTTGAAATATAAATATAAAAAGTATTTGTGCACAAGTTTACAATGAAAAACAAAGAATATGTTGTTTATTACCACAACAGTAGTTGTATTCAGCACACAAAACCTAGGATTTTCTGAAATATTTCTAAAAATTATTTAAAGAATTTTTTCAGACGTGGCACAGCAGATTCTTATAAATGCCGGTCTTCTAAATAGATACGCATTAACATATCTAAAATATATATATGCTAATTTAAATTCAAAAAATTTGGCTGATTCCGGTAAAGTTTATAGATGCCGGGTACATATTCTGATATAAAAAAATAATTCCAAAAATTTTTGAGTGCTTGGTCGTAAAAGGTAAATCACGTGATAATAAGGTTATTTAATATAGCGAAAATTTTAATTTTATTCGTTATTTGTAATTAGCGAATCATTTACTATAGCGAATTTTAATCTTCAACCCATGAGATTCGCTATAGTAAGGGTGAACTTGCATATGACACTTCTGTTTATTTAAAAAAATATTCTTCAAAGGAACTTTTAATATAATAACAATATATAATATAATAATTGTTTATTAAAATTAGCATATCAATATATGCAATATTTATTTGTTAACCAAATTTGACATAAGATTGATACACATTAGAGATTGAATAGTCTTTTTTAAAAGAAAAAATAAATAAAAAAGGTGAAAAAAAATATTTGTTTATTTATTTTTTTTAATTAATAATTAAATAAAAAAAAATTACATAATAAATAAAAAAAAGTTTATTTTATTAGTTAGATATTTGTAACGTAAAAAATATAGATCAAAAAATTTTTTTTATTACGCAATTATAATATTTTATTTATTACGGATCAATAAATATTTTTTTTTTATTTTAGTTTTACGAAGATCAATAAATATTTTTTTTCTATTATCATCATTAATTTTTTTTTATTTTTTACGTTTCTAAAAAAAAAAAATTTCATCGTTGCATAAATAAATAAATAAACAAAAAATTCTCAGTTCGAAAAAAAAAGAACCAGTATGCCGCTTTATTTCTATTGTACACTCAGTTACTGAAAGAGATAGTACAAATTATACTATAAGAGATGCTCTTGCTATTGTTAGAAATGAAGATAATACGACTATAGATGTAAAATTGACGGCTTATACTAAAAGAAATTTAGTACCTAGATGGGTACCTTTATTTGAGCTTGGAAATGTTCTAAGATTTACGGGAAAATTTGCTCTTGACGATGAACTTCCTCATAATACATTAGAGGTAAAAAAAAATTAATAATTATTTTCTTTTTTAAAAAAAAAAGAAATTTACATTTCTAATTAAAAAAAAATTAGGTAATGGCAAATGCAGGTGATCTCTTAAATGTTAATCAAGAAAATCTCCCCCCGAGCTCAATTTCTGTTTTTGTTACAGGATTTATTGCAGAGCAAGTGAAAAACGAAAATGATTCATTCAAATGCATTAAAATTAATGTTATTGAATATGCAGGAAGTGGTAATTCAAGAAAAAATTTTGTGTTAAATGCAGATATTTAAAGATACCAGGATCGATAAGAAGATCATAAAATTAAGAAGAAATTCCTGTGATTATTACGGGAGAATTTGATTTGCATTGATTCAAAATTTCAAATAGATATACAAGATATAAATTTCCTATCAACTTCAATATCGAATATTGAATCATCAACCACTTCAACAAATCTTTCCTCATTATACAATTGGTCAGCAACCAATCAAACATCAGGAAGGATACTGCACAAGCAATAGCCCATAACTCTCAAGAAAACGCCAATCAAATAAAAATGATGATGAAGATCAGACTAAGAAAGATGATGAGACATTAGATAATAATGATAATAAGGATTGAAAACTTGTATAATACTAAGCAAAATTATCCTGGTAAAAAAAAGAGAAAATCCCGAAAATAAACAATTTTTAAATTACTTTTATAGTAAAGGATAGTATTTTTTTACGATGTACTTTTGTTTTTGTAAAAAAAGAAATAATTTCACAACAATTTTTTTTTTTTAATAAATTAAAATAAAGAAAACTTTCCTGTTTAATTAAAAATTTTATGATATGACAAGAAAATGATTATAAATTACAAAATGCATCCGCAACGAGTTAATCACCATAGAATTAAGTGATTATGTGTTCGTGTTGACGTATTGAATGATTCATATCATAATAAAAAAAAATTGTAATTTAAAACTAATGTAACAAACGAATGATTATTATAATAAAATGAAAAAAAAGCAAAATAAATAATAAAATAAAATAAATAAAGAGAATTGTATAAAATTAGAATAAAATAAAAAATATATATATATAAACATATAATACATTACTATATACACCCTGGTAGCATAAAGAAATAGCGCTACCCTAGTTTTAATTAAAAAATTAAGGAATTACATGAAATCACATGGGAGGTTTGCTATTCAAATCGATTTACGAACTTTGTAAATCATATGATCCGTAACGTGATTTTAATAAAATATAATCTTTATTTCTTTAGCTTAAATAGCTTAAAATACCATAATATAACAACTTAGTTCAGAAATTTCGGTTTGAAAATTCGTTTGTTATTATTTCGTCAAGCCGCATCCCCAAATAATGAGTTATTTAACTTCGACTCGAGATAAAATGCCCTCGCTTTATACTTCTCATAATATCTAATAGAATAAATCCAGAATAGAATGCTTCACTGCGTTGGCCTTTTGATTTTCATAAATCAATAATCTATTTTCTAAACAAGACTAAAAAGTCAATCATGTTTTTATCATAAATGGAGAGTTTCCAGTTGATAAATCAGCCATAATACATCATAAAAATTTGTTAAAGCCATTTGAAAGAATTCTTCATAAATTTCACATATTTGCAAATTTTATGATTATAATAAGGATATTTGTTATTCCATAAAAAATCTTAATAAGTGCAGCGTTTAATAAGTTCTAATGTGCCTTATATATACTAGTATTTGTATAAATCACTTAAGCAAATTAAGGATATTCATTTATTTTATCAAATATAAATATGGTATAATGTACCTCATTAAGAATACTTCGGTTGATATATATATCGTGCTATCCATTTTATTTTTCCAAAGCAACCTTCATAGGTTCAGGATCTTATTTTTTTTTGAACTGCTGCTATTCATAATATGATTTACATGTAACATTATAAATTTTGGAAAACCTCCTTCACCAATATCGTGAAACTTTCAAAAGGTACCAATTCTAGAAATTCAAGATTATTATGTCTTTTATCTTTGATGAATCAATCACAGAATTTCCACTGTAAATCACTTATTGTCAATATAACAATTATTAACCGAGACATTTAATTTGTTAGATTCTGACTCTAATGGGACATGAGTTTCATTTCACGGATATTTACACCTCCCCATTTTTTTGTAAATTGAAAATATTCTTTAGACAATTGAAAATATTAAAATTACTTCTTTTGGTAAGTGCGTGGAATTATTTTGTTAATAATTACACGGCTACATATGAATAATTATAATTTAGCGGAGTAATTTGAAACAACAAAAGTTTAATTATCTGAATCGGATAATTATAACGTAAATTCATGGTAATCTCCGATAACCCCGTGAAGTTACGATAAATCGGAATATAAAAAAAAACTTATTTCACAAAAAAATTCTTTAAAAAAAGATTGTCCTTTTAAAATAAATAAATGAAACGTAGTATCAAGTTAAAAAAAAAAATAAGGAACTAACTTAAACTTCTAATAAAATTACCTTAGAACCTTTATATCAATATATTAGCCTTTAGCAATATAGTTTAGTTAAAAACTTAAAGAAATAGCTATTAATAAAGTAATTCTCGCTTAAAATATATATATATATATAGTATAATACGCTTGCGTGCTTTCACTCAAAATAAAATTAGCTGAAGAACTCGTAGAATACGCAAGAATGATGAATGAAACTTTAATATCCAATATAAACTATCAAGTTAAATCGAATAATACTTTACCCGAAAAGTTTGACTTGTGCGAGTTCATTTTGGAGTACAAGGTAATAAATTTCAAATTTTAGCCGATCATTTCATCATGAGAACCCAAACCAAACCGGATTCGTACAAATATATATATATATATATTTTACAAAAAAAAAAATACTAATATATTTTCCCACGTATTTATTTCTTCTAAAAAAAGTTCAAATGGTTCAGGATAAATTTTTACCAAAGTTATCCCAAAATTTGCTAGAAATTTTGGAAGATGACGAATATTATGATATTACAATAGAAGATGGTAATGACCCCCATGTGAAAATATTTCGAGCTCATATGAATATTTTACATTATCGCTCCCCATATTTTCGAAGAGTTTTGTCAGGTAATACAACGAAGAATGATGAATCCTTGGTGCATGTTAAATTACCAAACTTTTCACCTGAAATTTTTCAAATAATTTTAAGGTAAATTGTAATAATATTAATTTACTTCTTATTTAATTTCGCAAATTTATTTTTTTTTATTTTTTCTATTTCTAGATACATATACGGCGGAAAACTTCCTTTGGAAAGTTTTGATGATTCGGATAAAATTAAAACCTTAGTTATCGCCTATGAATTAGGTCTTCAGGAGTTAATCACCTATTTACAATCTATTTTGATTGAAAACAATGAAAATTGGTCGGATGAAAGTTTACATCTGATATATCAAACAAGTTTAGGAAGTGAATCTTATCTTGAACTTCAAAATATTTGACTAAATTAATTTCGAATAAGCCGGAAAAGTTCTTTGGATCACCTTATTTTATTTCAGTTCCAAAAGAAACTCTGATCTCGTTAATTCAAAGCGATAACCTCAAAATGAGTGCGGTTAAAGTTTGGGATCATGTACTTAAATGGGGCCTTGCTCAGAATCCAAACCTTTAATCGGATCCTTCTAGTTATTCTCAAGATGATTTCAATAGCCTAATAGGTACTTTAAAAGAATTTATTCCTTTGATTAAGTTCCTTAGATTAACTTTTAAAGAATTTTTGGATAAGGTTTATCCATATAAGAAAATTATGCCCGAAGAATTATTTGATAGTACGATTGTATCTTTGTTGAACGGCGGTGAAACAAATGTCGGTGAATCAGATATCGAATCCGAAAAGGTTAAAATTGAGTCAAGTATTATTACTTTTCAACAAGCAGAATTAATCATAAAATGGATTGAGAAATTAGAAGTTACAGACGAGATTATTGCTTCATATGAATTCAAATTATTAGCTCGTGAACGAGGTGTGATTACAGGTCCCACATTTCATGAATGTTGTGACGATAAGTTTCCGACTATATCAATCGTTAAAGTGGAAGGAAATAACGAAATTCTTGGAGGGTATAATCCAATCGCATGGAGTTCTGGTATATTCTCTTCATATGATAGAACTAGAGAAAGTTTTATATTCTCATTTAAGGATAATGATATAAGTAATCATATTTTAAGCCGTGTAACGAATGAGCAGCGTGCTACTTATAATCGGATTAATTACGGTCCAACATTTGGTTATTCAGATCTTACAATAAGTCAAATTTATGGTAATATATGTATAAAATCTGATTATGAAAATTCGATCAGAGAATCCAGAGATAACTTTGATGTAGAGATTTGTGAAATATATTTGATCATAAAAAATTGATGCGGGTTGTAACTGCTGATTTTTTCTTGAGTCATATTAAAGTCGAAAAGCAAATGTTGAAACAAGGAAGGTGAAATAATATGATGTGCGCTTATTTGGAGGATAATTATGTATTTTCATATTTAGACTTATTTTCTAATGTTACTTTTTGATTTATAGAAAAAAAAAGATTATTTTCCATTATTTGTCATTTATTTATTATCAAATAATAAATTGCATAATTTTTTATTCGATATTTTTCAAACAAATCTCGTTTTAACAAGAAATTTTGTATTATGAATAAAGGGATTCATAACTAATATAAAATTATTTAAGGAAGATCTATTAAGATAGATACCATTAAAGATCTTGCAAAGCATATACTTTGTCCAAAGTTATTTATTTACTCTTGTTGTTAATATGAATGTGAAATCTATTGGTTTTGTAATTGATATAAAATTCATTTTTTCATAAAATTAAGTTTAATTTCAAAGCTATAAAACTTCACTAAACCAGCAAAACATCACATTATCTAATAAAGTCAACAAAATGCGGCGTCATTCTATGGGAAGTTTGCTAAGGAAAATCAGGTTCTGAGATTTTTTTTTGACTAAAATTAAAACCTTATTACCTTATTACATTTTAACCTAAATTATTGTTAAAAATTCTCAGCCTGCAAACTTCCCATATAACTAGTAATACAGTATTATTGGAATTTTACCGCCGGCTTTTCATTCTTTTTTTTAACACCATCTGGTATAGAAATTTCAGTTAACACAAAATTTCGATAAGCATTGAGTGATTATGACTTAAATTTAAATTTATAATGCACCTAAATTACAAGTTGTGAAGCTCTTTTATGGATTTTCGTTATTTTTTGTTCAGATTTTCCAGAACGAACACATAATAGTGTCCTTTTATAGTTGTTGAATATTTTCATTATTTTGAGAACTTTTTAATAGTTACTTTTCCAAGACGAATAAAAGAAACTATCCCAGTATCTCCAACACTTGCTTCACCGCGAGATTTTTGGCCGGCATTACTAAATTTGGCCGAAATTATAGAATTTTTCATACTGAAAACGTAATACATAGTAAAAATGGAAAATACGGAAACTGGGCGACAAATTATATAGAGTCACGTGGGTGAAAAAGGAGTTTGCGATACTCCAAGTTTTCATATGATTTTATCACGTGTACAAAATCATCATGAGTTTCAAAAGTTTCTTCTCATTTTATAATCGATGAATACGTCATAAAGAAGTTAAGTACAGTGGAATCTAGGAAGTAAATTACACTCTAGGGTTAAGGATGGCGATTTGTTCAGGCTAATTGACAAACAATAATAGCATATTTCATTTTCATTCTACAAATATAGTTAGCAGCTAAATTTAATTTTTTTGCCAGAATTATAAAAAAATCTGGGTTGTACTTCGAAATCGGACCCGGAATCCGGGTCCGGTCCAAGTTTCAGCCTCTTTTTTTTTCAAATTTCCATTGCCCTGATCTTTATAAAATATGAATTTATCAAAAAGATACATTCGAGAAATTCAAGATTATTATTTCTTGTATCATGCATTGCATTTTTGATGAATTTATCAAATATCAGTACTCCATACGTTTAGGATCACATTCTTTATACTACAATTCCTACGTAAATGGGTTATTGCAACATGACATTTAATTTGTTTAATTCAGATTCTAATAGGACATTTTCATGGTCATTAACACCTATCTTTATATTCTTTTGACAAAATATTTCTTTCAATAATTATTGGTAAATAGAATATTACGACCAAAGCCAGAAAAATATTCTACGAAAATTAATGATGGTATGAATCATATGACTCGCGAACGTGATTGTTATACTACGGTAATTATTTATTGTTTAAATTTGGCCAAAGAGTTTTTTTACATTAAACTATTTCAAACACATTAGAAAAAAATAAAAATAATATAAATTTTGGTGTGTGGCTGGCAAAATATGTCATTAATGTCCAATTATTTTTATAAATCGGGATAAAATAACTTAATTAGATATCACAAAAAATTTATAAAAAAAAAGTAAGGTCTTCAATATTTAATTATGCAATCGGCATATAAATATAAGTTAAACGAAATAAATGAAAAGTAGTATTAAATTGAAAATATATAAGGTTTGCAAAGTAATGTAATTAGAAACAACTATCTTAAAGCTTCTAACCGTAATCTAAATATAACTTTTGATTAACATTTCCTTTTATCAAAATTTTAAGTTTAAGTCATTGTTTATTAGTTAAAGATAATTCTCCCTAAACAAAATTATCAAACCTGCTTTTTATTTCATAATACAATTATATTTAAAAATTAGGCTCAAAAGCTCATAAAACTTCATAAAACTTCATAAAGGTTACATTGCATTGCATAAAAATATCGGGTTAATATTTTACCCGAAAGTTTGAGTATCATTTCGGGTAGTACATTAAATTTTCGACGATCATTTCATCATTTGAACGCGGATCCGGTATCCATTCCAAATATAAATACTGTATTATTTTCCCACGCAATTTTTACAGAAAATAAATATCAATGAAAATGGATAAAAATACATTTTTTCTTTTACCAAAGTTATCCCAAAACATGCTGGAAATTTTGGAAGATGACGAATATTATGATATTACAATTGAAGTTGGTAATGACCCTCACGTGAAAATATTTCGAGCTCATATGAATATTTTATATTATCGCTCTCCTTATTTTCGAAAAGTTTTGTCATATAATAGAAAGAAGAATGATGAAACATTGATGCATGTTAAATTATCAAACCTTTCACCTGAAAATTTTCAAGTAATTTTAAGGTAAATTGTAATAAAGTTAATTATTTGATGTTGGCCTTTATTTAAAGATTACAGCAAATTTATATTTTCTACCTCTAGATACATTTATAGCGGAAGACATTCTTTGGAAGGGTTTGATGCTTCGGAAATTGTTAAAACCTTGGTTATCGCTAATGAATTAGGTCATCAGGAGTTAATCACCTATTTACAATCTATTTTGATTGATAATAATGAAAATTGGTCAGATGAAGGTTTACATCTAATATATCAAACAAGTTTAGAAAGTGAATCTTACCTTGTACTTCAAAAGGTTTTTACACAATTAATTTCAAATGAACCGGAGACGTTCTTTGAATCACCTTATTTTATTTCAGCTTCAAAAAAAGTTTTGATCTCATTAATTCAAAACGATAACCTCAATATGAGTGCGGTTAAAGTTTGGGACTATGTTCTAAAATGGGGTCTTGCTCAGAATCCAAACCTTTCCACGGATCCTTCTAGTTATTCGCAAGATGATTTTAATAGCTTAAAAGGTACTTTAAAAGAATTAATTCCTCTAATCTAAAGAATTTATGGAAAAAGTTTATCCATATAAGAAAATTATACCCGAAGAATTGTTTGATAATACAATTAAATGTTTGACGGCTGAATATGATAAAAAAATTAATTTCAAATCAAGCATCATTTCATTTCAACATGCAGAGATAATCTCAAAATGGATCGATAAATTAGAAATTACAGACGAGATAGCTGCTTCTTATGACTTCAAATTATTAGTTAGTTTACGAGGTGAGCTTTCAGGAAATTTATTTCATGAATTGTGTGACAATAAATTTCTGACTGTCACGATCATTAAGGTGAAAGGAAGCGACGAAATTCTTGGAGGTTATAATCCAATCAAATGGGAATCTAATAGAATTTTATTTTATGGCGAAACTAAAGATAGTTTTATATTCTCATTTAAAGATAAGAATGATCTTAATAATCATATTGTAAGTCGTGTAATGAATGAAAAGCATGCTATATATAATCGGATGCATTGTGGTCCTGGATTTGGTTATTCAGATCTTAACATAAGTCCTTTATATTGGTGCTAATAGATGTGTCATGTCTGATTATGAGAAGCCTATCAGAGAAACTAATGACAGCTTTAATGTAGAGATTTGTGAAATATATTTACTCACAAAAAATTGATGCGGATTAATATTACAATTTGTTTCATAAAAGTAGTCAAATTAAATTCGAAAAGCAGATGTTTGAATAAGGGGGAGCAATTATGAAGTGATGTGCGCACACTTATCCTATTCTTTATTTGAAGCAAATATCAAATTATTTGTGTTATCTTAAAATTTAAAAAGGAAATATTAGAATATTAATAAAGATATAAATAAAATTATATAG